GACGCGAATTACTTAGTTGCGTTCATATGCATGCTTCATACCATACGAATATTTGCATGCGAACTTTTACTTACCAGCAATATCACGCGTGCGCCATGCATGCGTACTTTCTTCCACACGACCTGTTGCCCTGAAACGCGGCTGGGGCGCCACGGGCCGGCGGGCTGTCGGCGTCGCCTGTTGCGCCGCTCGCCGTCGGAAGAACAAGTTACGGCGACGGCGACTGCCGGTTCCGAGGCGGCCGTGCGGGGCGGCCGGATCGCCGATCGATCCCCTCCCCCACCCCCCACCCCTCCCCCCGACGCGGCCTCGGCCGGGTCGAACGCCAGTCGCCGGCGACGTAGCCGCGGCCGCCGCGCGGTGCGGGAGATGACGCGAGAGGCCCACAGGGCGCCGTGTGTTCTGCGCACGGCACCCTCCGGAGACGTCTCGTATCTCCGGCACCGTCTCCCCGGGGAGGCGTGGTATCTTCCGCGCGCGGTCTCCGGTGGCGGTCTGCTTCCGCCCCGCTGCGCCGCGAGGTCAGGTCGGCACGACGTGGAGTGGCGATGAGGCTCCCTCTCTTGCGGTCGCCGCTGGCCGGTGGCGATTACTGGCGTTCAGGGTTCTGTCTGCTGGAAGTTCAGTAAATCGTTCGCGTTCGCCTGGCTGTTACGAAGATTCAGTTGTGCACTTAAAAGGTGCTTTGATTTCACTTGAGTTTTAGGATGCATTGACCACTTTCTATTGAACTGCACTGCATGGCTCGCGGAAACCTATGGCTTATGAGGCACATGCACCATTATATTTGAACCGAACGTTCAACATTGCGTTGCTCACCGCGCCTTCCTGACGTGCGTACCGTGACCGGCGCGGCCGCTGACCGGGACCGCTGACGAGTGCGTGAGACGACGCGCAGTGTGTGACGGTTGTGACGGTGTGTGACGGTGTCGACAGACTGCAGGACTGGCGCTGCCTGTGGTGCAAGGGCACCGTGCACACGGCCTGCCGCGGCCTGGTGGCCGCCCACTGCCCACTCGGCGCCTGCAAGGTGTCCGTCGTGCCACCGACCGCCCTGCACAGCATCGGTGAGCGGACGCGTCCTCCGCGCGAGGGAGCACGGGAGCGCCCTGGAGGGACCGGCCGCCGGGTGCGGGGAGCGGGGAGGCGGGCCCTCGGGCGGGCCGGCGACGCGTCGGGGAGCACGGGGAGGCGGCGGGCCCTCGGGCGGGCGCCGGCCGCCGGGTCGGCGGAGGCCGCCGGCCCGGGGCTGCTGAGCGCGGCGGCGGCGGCGGCGGCGGCGGCGCTCGCCGTGGTGCGACCTGGGATCAATTCAGCAGCGCTCAGATCCAGAGACACAGCGGCTCGGGATGAGCAATGCGGTGTTATCGGTGGTGGCATCATTAGCAATGTGGTGTTATCTGTGGTGGCATTTCTACGAATGTGATTTTATCGGTAGTGATATTATTAGCAGTGGTTTTAACTATCGCCACTTAATTAGCGTGCTGGCGCTCTGTGCGAGCTATGACCGAAGATGAAGTAGTGAGCGTGCGCTGGATGCAGATGAGGCTCTCCACGTACTCGGAGCCCGCACTCGGCTGACGTACCGCTGGCCGATAATCGGTGTCTGGCGCGTTATCTGACACACATCGACCCGCTCCGATCCGTCAGTTCAATGTTTCACCCGGATGAGGCCAGGGAGCAGGCCACCGGGCCCGCACGTAGCACCTCGCACGTTGCCGAGTTCTAAATTTTTTGGTCGGGGAAACGTGCGCGTTCTTCTTCCCAGCCGGCTGCACCAGTGTTGGTGGTAGGCGATGGTTACCCGGTGCCCTCCTCCTCCCCCCCCCCCCCTCTGGTAAGCCGGGGATCAGCGGGTCACGTCTCGCGGGTGCCTGGGGAAGTTAACGGGGCTCCGCCCGCTGTCCATCCGGCGCTGCTGGGCATTTGGCGGCATGTGGAAGGTCAGAGGTCGCCGACCCTGCGGAGATGCATCGAGTGGCGGGCGGGAGCGGAGCCGCGACGGGGTGAAGGGGCAGAGGTCGAAGAGGCGGCGTCGCTGATGTGACCTCGGCACGGCCAAGCGCTGGTGTAAGGCCTGACCTTTGCTCCAGGTGTCTAGTTGGTCAGTTGACATGGGCGCGGTAATGACATGTTTGTTGCACCCTTAAAACTGTCCCGCTTGGGCAAGCCAAATACATATTTATGATGGGTGATTTTGGGCAGACAGGTTCTATGCAGTTCACCTGCGGCTTGACTGGAGTGTTTGCGACCAGGGTGCCTGAGGGGACGGTATTCAGAATTCCTCGGCCAAGTGCTCGCACCAGTGAACCACAACGCCGAGCTGGACCGTTCCGCTGCGCTGCTGTTGGCACGGTGCAGCAGAGTGGCTCGCTTGCAGGGGGAGGGGGGAGGGGAGAAGGGCGGGTGATGCGTTGCCTCCCGGGACGGCGCCGTGCCCATGTGTTTGTGTCCGGACGGACATTAGGTGGACCGTGGTGCGGAAATGAAAGGCTTGTGGTTTCGGAGGGCCTTTGTGGGTAGCTTTTCAGTCGTTTTTTATGGCTGTTCATCTCTGTCGACCGTCGCTTCTTTTAAAACAACAGCCGCACATTAGAAACAGTCGTTAGTGGGATGTTAGCGGTGTAGCGTTAAGTTGCATGATGGTCGACTACGACTATGTTAAAAGAAACCGGCTACCAGGCCGCCAAGCGTTTCTTGCTGAGTCCACCACTCATACTGTGCAGGCTTCGGTTCGTCGAGTTATCTGAACACCACCCAGCGTTCTCGGGTTCAAACGGGACCGCCCGGAACTTTTCGTTTCACGCCATGCTACAACACGGCGGTCCCGTGCTGGGTGGGCCTGGGCCGGCCGTCCAACGTTCAGCTGACGGGGCCAAGTCGCTGGCATTGACGGACACGCTTGTACTGGGTTGCGTACTCGCGCCGCCAGGTTATAAATTGACACGGTCTTTCCTCAGCCGGCGAATGCATGGCACCGCACTTCCAGGTACAAACAATGAAGAAAGTAACTGCTGTTCACATCATATGATATCAATGTCAGGACCACAGCACTGCAGGCAAGGATGGGTCGGCAATAAAGTATTGACAAAATCATCGAGGGCACAGCAGCAAACGGCAGCAGCACAGCATATCGTTCTTCGATATTAATAATCTGCCATAAAAGCTAGTGATCGCTACGTTGCGTATGTCAAACAGTCCATCAAAGCTTTTCTTACGGCCAGCGCCAAGGCCAAAAATCCACAGCCAAACCACCCACCAATCCGCCACTCGACACAGCCTCCGCGACGAGAATGGCCAGTTGGCGTCAGCTTTCGTGTGCTTCGAGGTATTCTTCAGGTCTGGCCACCAGATGCTGCCAGTTATTGCTGTCATCACAGAACCATTCCGTGACGCCGTCAAACAAGGACGTAATGGGGCGCATTTTTATAAACTTTGAAATTTTGCTACTTAGCGTCGTTTTTGGACCTTGAAAGCTTACCAATAGTTACAGGTAACCTTTTTCCATCATATCTGGTGCCTACCTCAATATCTTCAGATGTGGAACATCCCCTTTAACAACGCTGTTGAGCGATCTCGAGGTTTTGCGTGGGAGAATGCTTCACATATAGCTCCCGGCATCCTGGGTTTTGATTAGTCCTCCGGTCTTTGCCGAGGGCTGACCACTGCCCTGCTGTCGCCATTGTGGCATCGATTTTGCATCAAGTGAGTGCGGATCAGGAGCTGGAGACCATTCTTAATCACAGAGGGCCAAGCTGTGCTATTTCCGTGTGCTCAGCCGTCTTAGCCCACGTGGTCCCGAGCGCGAGCCGGCGACCGGGCAAGCGAGACGCCCCGCGCCGGTGTTGTGACGTGCGCGTCCGCCTCCAGCCCCTGTCACATGCGTCACCGGCGCCTGCGCCTGCGCCTGACCCGCACGGTGACCCGGAGTCAGCGCCGGTGCCGGAACCCGCACCGCAGGACTGCTGTGTCCGCTTTCATGCACGTACATACGGGCTTTGCATCCGGGAGACAGCAAGAAACGAGTACATGCGTCGAGACCATTGAACTTTCGGGAGGATCGCTCACATGACAGTCACGTGGGGTCACAGAGATGCACGCAGTTGCCCGCATCGTCATTTTCACGGAAGTGGAGAGTATTGAGGTGTAGATGCCGTGGAAAACGCCCTGGAATGTACCGGTAGCGATGACCTGCTACACCGACCTGTAGCGATAAGGTGGGACAGTAGCTGTGATCTGCAACCCGTAACCATAGCCGATGGCTGTGACGGAAACACGCGGCGTGACGTTGGCCTGTGCCTTGATATGACAGCAGCATGTGTTCGTGGCCGTGGCAACTTGAAGCAACTTCTGAAAGCAACAACTGTGACCGCAGTCTTCAACCGCGGCTGGTGACCGTGACCAGTGGCCGTGACCTGTAACAATGTCGCATGATCGTGACTCGTAACCTTGACATATGGTCGTGACACGTGACTCGTAACCGTGCGCTGTGACCGTGACCCGGAGCCGCGCCCTTGGACCGTGCCCTGTGGCCGCGACCTTTGGCCGTGACCTGTGGCAGTGACCTGTGACCGTGCCCTGTGACCGTGACCTTTGTCTGCGACCTTTGGCCGTGACCTGTGGCCGTGGCCTGTGGCTGTGACCTGCGGCTATGACCTGTGGCTATGACTAGTGGCCGTGACCTGTGACCGTGACCTGTTGCCGTGACCTGTGGCCGTAACCTGTGGCTGTGACCTGTGGCTGTGACTAGTGGCCGTGACCTGTGACCGTGACCTGTGACTGTGACCTGTGACCGTGACCTGTGACCGTGACCTGTTGCCGTGACCTGTTGCCGTGACTTGTGGCCGTGACCTGTGGCTGTGACCTGTGGCCGTGACCTGTGGCGTGACCTGTGGCTGTGACCTGTGGCTGTGACCTGTGGCTGTGACCTGTGGCTGTGACTAGTTGCCGTGACCTGTTGCCGTGACCTGTGGCCGTGACCTGTGGCCGTGACCTGTGGCTGTGACCTGTGGCTGTGACTTGTGGCTGTGACTAGTGGCCGTGACCTGTAACGGCAGCCGGTGACCGTGAGTCACATGGGTGGCCCGCGTGGCGGCAGGTGCCGACGACAGCTGGGAGGCGGCGCGGCCGCTCGGCTGCTCCCCGCTGCTGGTGTTCGTCAACTCCAAGTCAGGCGACCGCCAGGGCATCAAGTTCCTGCGCCGCTTCAAGCAGCTCCTCAACCCGGCCCAGGTGTTTGACCTGATGAACAGCGGGCCTGCGCTCGGGTGAGTCCGGCCGCTGGGAGGAGGGGGAGGGGGCGACCTTCCCGGTGTAGCCGTGCTGTGTGCTTGGGGTTTAGGCGAATGGGGGTAATGTGGTGAGTTTTGGCGATTGTGTTTGCAATTGCAGTGCCTGGGGGACCCCCAGGTAGGATACTGTCGGTTTGATGGCGTGCATCGCTTACCCGCTTGGCGTAACAGGGCTTCCCTGATCGATCACTCGCGCACCCCTGCCTGGCAACGAACTGCTGGCGGCGGCCGCTGACGCATCGGGACCGGCCCGCGCCACTATCTCCCCAGCGCGGCCCCTTCGCGCCACGCCCGCGCAGCCCGGCCCGTCCGCGCCGGGCTCGTCGTGGCCACGTTTAGACCAAGTGGCCGCTGCCTGTGTATGCCGGCCGGTGCTAACTGTGTAGACTGGCGAGCGCGTCATCTGTGTATGCCGGAGAAGGGCGCCGGCCGCGCCGTCTCCGGAGCCGGCGCTGGCCGAGCGCGCGGCACGCGGGTGTCGCACTTCGCCGAGCGCGGCGATGCAGCGGGGCCGGGAGCGCGCGGCACGCGGGCGTCGCACTTCACCGAGCACGGCGATGCAGCGGGGCCGGGAGCGCGCGGCACGCGGGTGTCGCACTTCACCGAGCACGGCGATGCAGCGGGGCCGGGAGCGCGCGGCACGCGGGTGTCGCACTTCGCCGAGCGCGGCGATGCAGCGGGGCCGGGAGCGCGCGGCACGCGGGTGTTGCACTTCACCGAGCACGGCGTCGCGTCGGAGCCGCCTGGAGAACGCAAGGTCGAGCGCGATGGCGATGGCGCGTGTTGGTGTTGTACGAGGGAGGGCGTGAACGTGACAACGGTCAAAACATGTGTTGTTGTCTCGTCCCCCCCCCCTCCCCCTGTTTTTGCGTTTGGCGTCGGTGCACCCGAGGGCTGTCTCCTGTCCCATCCTGGCTCAGGCTGCCTCGCGCTATCCATTGTGCGCGGCGGCCCCGGGGCCGTCCGGTACATCTGGTACGCCCGGTCCGGGGCGGTCCGGTACGTCTGGTACATCTGGTACGTCTGGTCCGGGGCGGTCCGGTACGTCCCGGTTCAAAGGCCGTCAACCGCGCCGCTCACGCAGTCACAGGTATCGGATCGTCCCCCGTGGAAGGAGCCGTTCGCTGGCCGGAGGAGTGACTCGTGGCGCCGGTGGTGGCGGGCCTACCCCTGCCTCCGCCTCCCTCGCTTCTGTGGCGAGGCCTCGGGTTCAGTGAAAGGCAAAGCCTTGCTCCCAGCGGCGGCGTCCACCGTCCAGCAATCGCCGGCTCCGGTCGTTCGCGGCGAAAGCTCGCCAGCCGGCCGGCATGCTGGGCATCCCGCGGCCGCAGCCGCCGAGTACGGCGAGCTGCACTGCCGGAGCTGAAGCGACCGTCACCGCATCTCTGACGCTGTGGGATTCCCGTGGCGTTGGTCTCGCGGTGGGCTGCGCCGGCGGGCTGTTTGTCGTGCCTTGTGATGAATAATTGACAGCTCCTAAGCAGAGCATGTGCCGCGGTGTGATCACATCACTGAATGTCAGCCGAATCAGGCGTGTCCTTGCGGCTCGGTGCTGATCGCCGCGACTGGCAGGAAGGGATGCAGTGTTTAGTGTTCGGCGCCGTCTCCAGTACATATCCGGACTGGCGCGGCGCAGAGCGCGCCCGTGCGGGCTGTCAGGCTCGGTATTGCAGCTGCTGGTCATGAGCCCGCGGACGCTGACCGCTGGGTGGACGTCCTGCCCGGCCAGCGGCCTGAGGCGATGTGCGGCACTCTCCCCGCACTGACTGCCAGGCTGGCACTACTTTTATTCAGTGTGGCCGGTGTAGAGCGTGATCTTGCTTGGCATCGGCTTCGTGGCTCGTATTTTCCACACGGCTTTCTCCGCTTACAGGAGATGGAACGTCATTTTCTGGTGCTCAGAAGGCTGCTCCACTCTTGCTCTGCAAACTTTTGCCGCGTTGAGTGCCGAAGTTTTCCGTCTGCAGCCGGCTTCATTTATGGCCGGCGAAAATGCAAAAATTGATGCCAGTTCCGCCGCTCCGAGGCAGGGGGCCGCGCATTGTATGTTGGGGCCATGGAACGGCCTTGTGCATTTGAAAGCCGGAAGCCGCAGGTACCTCTTCCAGACAATTGTATTGGCGGAAAACCTCGCGGTGGATGGTCACACCACGTGCCCCAGTCACTTGATGAAAGCACGCATTTCTCCCGCTTCGGACACCATTTCGCCTCCCCTGCCCTCGCGTGCGTCAGATCATTTGAATAGTGGAGGCACCGGCTTGTGTTGGCAGAGGGCGGAGCAGTCTTCTGATCTGCCAGAGTAATCAGGAAGTGCCGCTGAAATATCGGTCGACCGAGCTCCGCTTTCCGCTAGCGCTTTGATTGCTGCACCTGGATCAGATGCACCACCAAGCGTGAGGTCTAATTACCACTAATTGACGTCTGTTTCCGACGTGGCGTCTAACGAAAAAGAGCGAGGCCTTTTGCGGAAAAGTACGCCGTCATCTTGGAACTCTACGCACGCCTTGCTCATCGACATCATCGGCATGTCCTGCTGTTCCCCGTCTTATCCCACCGTGGTGCAAGTTCTCACGCAAGTTGTCTACGTTGTGCCCGCGGGAGGCTGCGCCCCGCGCGTGTCCGCCGACGGTGTGACGTCACGGTCTACGTTGTGCCCGCGGGAGGCTGCGCCCCGCGCGTGTCCGCCGACGCCGGCCGTTCGTGACGTCACACCATCTCCGGCGCTGTGTGGCAGCACGCGGCAGAGGGGCGGGGCCACGCGTTGTGTGCGTGCGTCACTTCAGCGTGAGCGGCCCAATAGGGCGGGGCAGAGGGGGGGGGGGGGACGGGACGGGGTACGGAGGGGCGCCATCCCGATGGCAGCAGCGCTGGCGGGCGCACAGCGGGGCGCTGCCGGCGTGCCGCCTGTCCCGCTCCACGGGCACCTCCCAGAGTGACGGCGCGTGTGAGGCGGTGGCTGCGTGAGATACGCGCCGCACGCTATCAGCGGCGCTCGGTGCCGGTCGGCTGCGCGCCCAGCCCCCTGACGGCGATAGCCGGCAGGGGGCTGGGCGAGGGGGTGGTCGCCCCCGGTGTATAGCGGGCGCCATGCCGGAAGGGGTTGTGTGTGTGTGGGGGGGGGGGGGGGGGGGGCGCGCTCCCGTTTCCTATTATGAAATCGCTATGTGCGAGCACTCTCGGTGGTTTGATGCCTTTGGTTGATTGGCCCGGAACACGAACTCTCGCGAATTATCCCCCCTGATGATAATTCTGTTATGAAATCGGCACGTGCGAGCACTGTCGGCGGCTTGATACCTTTGATTGATTGGCCCGGAACGCGAGCTTCCGCGAATTATCCTCCCTGATGATCTCGCCTCCAATGTTCCGTTTCCGCACATAACCAGGCTTAATGAGTGGCTCTAAGCCTCGTTTCCAACGTCGCGTGCATTGCGTCGGACCGGGGCAGCACCATTTCCAGACCGAGACGAACACATCACCAAATTAACTTCATCGGGCCTGGCCGGCTGCAGTAAGGCATTCATCAACGCTGACGCGACGGCTCGGAAGCTGAGTGACGGCCGAGCTGTATTCGCTCGAACGCTTCTCGGGCATCGATCCGGGAAGAAAGCCTCCAGGGGGTTTCCCTTCGCCAATCGACACCGAACCAGCGTCACAAAAAGGCGGCCGTGCCCCCAATGCTAGCGAAAAGATGATGCGATTGGGTTTCGCCAAAAAGCGTAACCGGTTTGACGCTGTTACGGTGTCGTCGCCGTGGCGATTTCTGACGGTGTCGCGCCACGGAGGAGCGCTGCGGGCGGCGTGGTGCGGTCCGCAGTGGCAGGATGAGTACTTCTGTGGGGAGCGCCGGAAGTGTCAGGAGCTCAACGACCTGTTACGCTGTCTGCTTAAAAACTGTCGCCTGTTTTTGGGGGGAATGCAGCTTTTCTATCAGTCCCGTATTTGGTTAGTGTGCGATGCGACTGGTTGTGAACTAGACGACTATCTTGGTTTGAAATTTGTGCACCCTGCCGGAGAGTATCACCGAGATCGGGCGCCACGCTCTAATTCAGCCAGATTCTGAATCAGAGTACCGAGCGCCGGGAACTTTTTTGCTCCGTTCCCGGCAGCAAGCGGGCGTGAGTGCAGCGAATGTCAGCGCTGATTTGTTCAGAACTAATGTCGGCTCCCTATCACTCGTCGATAACGCACCGCCCCAAAGCGCGTTCGATCGGCAAACTGCGTTCGTGCCGCCGCGCCTGTGCGGTTGGCTGCCCCGAGCAACGCCACTAACCTCCGTGACAGGCTAGCCAGCGCTCCGCAACGGCGAGAGATGGTTCGGGGACCAAGTTGGGAGCCGGCGACCCTGCCTCCACAGCGGCAGTTTTTAGCCTTCCGCCCGACGGTGGCCCTCCGAGACACCCGCCGAAACGTCATTTCGCCACCACCGCCCTGCGCCGCCGGACTCGGCGTTGCCGGCAGCCGCGGGCCGCGCGCCGGGGGTAGCTCCCTCCGCCTGCTCACGCCCCCCCCCCCGCCGGCAGACTGCGGCTGTTCAAGAAGTTTGACCAGTTCCGCATACTGGTGTGCGGCGGCGACGGGTCGGTCAGCTGGGTGCTCTCCCACATCGACAAGCTGGACATGCACGTAAGTGGCGGCGATGTGGTGCCTCCAGCCGGCGCGGGGGCGGCGCCTCCTGCGTTGCTGTCCCCACTGAGATGGCGTCGCTCACCAGAACTGCGGGCCGGGCTGTTCCGGGTTGACATTTCTCGTGATGCTCGCTCTGCGCCTACCGGTCATGTTTGCGCTCTAATTGCCTCCATATTTTGCTCTGTGCTGTCTGTACCATTCACGTGTCCCTGACGTGCGCCCACCAGCGTTATTCCCCGTTCGACTTTGCATTTTGGAGGCCGTCTTACCCGTGACTCCCATTCCCGTCGCCGCATGGCGCCCCCCCCCCCCCCCACACTCCCGCGCGCCACACTGTCGACGCCAGGGGCGACCGCATCCCTCGGGCGCCCGGCTGACCTGACCTGACCTGACCCGACCCGTCGCACTGACCCCGGTCCGCCGGCCGGCCGCAGCGCCAGTGCCAGGTGGGCGTACTGCCTCTCGGCACCGGCAACGACCTGGCGCGCGTGCTCGGCTGGGGAAGCGCCTGCGACGACGACGCCAACCTGGCGCACATCCTCGAGAAGTACGAGTGCGCCACCATCAAGATGCTGGACAGGTGAGGTGCTGGGCCGATGGGGGGGGGGGGGGGCGACAGACTTAGGGTCACTGACACGACGTGGTGGCAGCGTTTAACTCTGGCATAATGCTGTTGTCTGCTGGCGTGTTTTAGCTCTGCGGAGCTCCGACGCCTACGTCTCACGTTGTGCGGTGATCGTCCCCGACACTTCGATCTATGTGCTGACATGTGCCCCTCCCTCCGCCTGCTGATCTCTTCACCTCTGCTTGCACACGCCGCCCTGCTGATCATGACCCTCCCGCCGACCTGTTTCACCTCTCCTAACCTGCCTCTGACCCGTGCCGTCTCCGCTGACCTGCATCTGACCCGTGCCGGCCCCGCTAACCTGCCTCTGACCCGTGCCGCCACCGCTGACCTGCTCTGACCCGTGTTGTCCTCGCTGACCTGCCTCTGACCCGTGCCGTCCCCGCTGACCGGCCTCTGGCCCGTGCCGTCCCCGCTGACCTGCCTCTGACCCGTGTTGTCCTCGCTGACCTGCCTCTGACCCGTGCCGTCCCCGCTGACCGGCCTCTGACCCGTGCCGTTCCCGCTGACCGGCCTCTGACCCGTGCCGTCCCCGCTGACCGGCCTCTGACCCGTGCCGTCCCCGCTGACCGGCCTCTGACCCGTGTCGTCCCCGCTGACCGCCGCCGCGCCGCCCCAGGTGGAGCATCTCGGCTATGAGCACGACGGTGCGGCTGCGGCCGGCGGCGGCGCCCGCCGACACGATGGCCGCCTACGAGGACTCGGTGGCCGACCACCTGGCTCGCCTGCTGCACTCGGAGCAGCACCCGGAGGTGCTACAGTCGGCCAGGTCAGTGCCGGGCCGCTGGGCGGCTCTGGCCAGGCCGCTGACAGCGCCAGCTGAGTCTGATTTGGGTAGCCTTACCGGCCGTCCCTCCGGGGTCATTAGCCTCACCCCCAGTCCTCCTGCTCAGATGAGCCGTACCAGTGTTCCTGGCCGTCCTGCCCCGGACTGATGAGCCTTACATCAGTCCTTCTGCTCAGATGAGCCTCACCAGTTTTACCGCCCCTCCCCTCCAGGCTGATTAGCCTCACCCCCAGTCCTCCAGCTCAGATCAGCCGTACCAGTGTTGCTAGCCGTTCCTTCCGATCCGCTTACCGTGCTATCGGTCCGTCCCGGTCAACTAAGTCGTTCTGCGAGTCTCCTCAGGCTTGTCGGTCTGGCGCGGCGAGCTGTGATCTCGGTCCGGTCTGGGGAGAGCGGGGAGAGCAGAGCGTCTGGTGACGGCAGGCGGGGGTCGGCGGCTCTCGCTGCGGCGGTGTGCCGGGTGGGCCGGCAGGTCCCGGCCGCGGTCGCGCCGCCCGCGCCCCCGGCTGTTGTGGCGGCGTCCCCCGGCCTCCGTAGCTTGGGAGTGGGCCTGAGCGCCTTCAGGATTGCGTTCATCAACTGAAGCCGCATTTGTGCGCATCGGCATGCTGGCGATGGCTGTGAACCGGGCGATATACTCAGCCGAGCGATGGTGATTCATTGGCCACGGCGATGAAGGCTGTCTGGTTACCTGCTCTACATGCGGCCAGGGGAGCAGGGCGGGGGAGTGGGAGGGGGGGGGGGGGGGTGGGTGGGAGGGCGCTGACAGGGTGGTAATCACGTCGGCGTAGTATATCAGCTATCGTCGGGCGGTTAGCGGTCCCGGTATCCCCCGCCCTGAAGCAGACTTGTCACGCTGCGGAGCCAACGAGGGAAGGAGAGAGTTGACCAGTTGCGGGCTCCGGCGGTCGGAGCGTTCTCACGCGAGGCTGGCGGGGTGTCGCGCAGCGGCTGCTGATCGCCGCGGAACTGTCGCGGACCACGCGTTTGCCACGGCTCAGGCGTGCGGCGCACCGGCGTCGGCCAGCGCGGCCGCCTCGCCGATCGAGCTGCGGAACCGGCGCCGTGGTTCGACCGGTCGCGATGCTCCGCTCTCCGGCCGGGGTCGGGCGGTCTGAGTGCGTCAGGCAGCGGTGGGGGGGCGGACGTTCCAGTCGACCCCGCCGCCGCGCGCCCGGCGCGCCTGTGTCCCGCTCTACCCGGCACGTGCCGACGGCGAGGATGTCGGCCACGCGACACCGCCGTCCCCTAGCGGCGTGGTGAGGCTGACCTCGCGTGACGGCGGTGGCGCACCTGATCGGGCCGGCGGCGGGCGGACTCGCCTGTAACCGTGCCCGGGTCGGCCGGCGCCGGCAGGTCGGCTCTGGCGGCGGCAGCGGCGCTCCTTCCGGTCCGTCCGGTCGGCTGCGACCACACGCGGAGGATGGCTGTCGACGGCGTCGTAAAATGTGGCTTTGCGGGCGACCGCGGTAATTGTCGGCGGGATGAGGGAACAGATGGGTTTGATGACGTCATTCGGCTCGGTTATGACCCCGAATGACCATTCGCGTCAGCCGACCACTGGCGAGCGGCTCGCTCGGCCTCCCGACTCTTTCTGGCGTGTAATTCAGCCGGTGGAGTAGATTTAATATAGCCTGGGGTAGAGAGGGAGAAAGGGAGAGAGCGCGTGGGAGGAGACTGAGTCCGTGCAATGAAGCGACACGACTCGAGCGGGCGCGAGTCGTTGAAGATAGAGGGACAGGCATGCCACCAGGCGGACAAGTGTGGCATCTATCAAAGATGAGCGGAAGGATGAGACCTGGGATAGCCCCAAACACCACGTGGTCATGAGCACAGTGCCGGGCTCCTCTCTCACGGCACGGCCTCCTCTCACGACCCGCTCCTCGTCCCACAGCGTGCTATGCGAGACGGTGCGGGACCTGATCTCGCGGGTGGGCGCGTCGGCCGGCGCCGCCAGCCCCGCCCTGGCCGCCAAGTGCGACACGCTGAACGAGAAGCTCTCGCTGCTGATGGCGGCGCTGCGCGAGGAGGCGCCCGGTCGGCGGCCGCGTCCCGCCGCCGCCGCCGCCGCCGCTGCCACGTTCACGCCGCGCCAAACGCTCATGCTGCGCGCCAACAGCCTGAAGAAGGCACTGCGCGAGATCCTGGCGCATGCTGAGCGCACCATCGACGACCAGAACGCGCAGACGGCGGCGGCGGCCGAGGTGGCGGCGGCGGCGGCGGCCGTGGAGGAGGCGGCGGCGGCGGCGGCGGCGGCGGCGGCCGAGGTGGCGGCGGCGGCGGTCGAGCCGGAGGAGGGCGCGCCGGCGGAAGCGGAGTCGTCCGAGCCGGCTGAGTGGCAGGTGAGGACGACGGCGGAGGGGAGGGGGTGGGAACAACGGGGATGGGCTCTGCTCACGACTTCCAACAGCACCGTTTGCATTGTGTACCGACGCGCCGGGCAAACAAGGGGTGATTATATGGGCGACAGTAGGCGTTGTTTGTCGTCTGGTTAGCGGTGTCAATGGGGCAGAGGGGTAAGGGGAGGGCAATTGGTCTCCATGGCGACGCCTGGTTTGTGGGTCACGGTGCCGCTATTGTTAATGTTGCGGGCGGGCCCCGCTCCTTATGTGGATGTGGAGTAATTGGCACCAGCGTGATCCATGTAAACTGCGGAAACTGAGAACTTATTGCGTACTCCACTAATAGATTCTGGAATGTATAGACACCTTTTGACCCAGATGACCCGTTTGGACTGTTTCACTCGGCATACTTTGTACAAGTGAATGGGCTTTACCACCACTTAGCGTCGCGGGTGCGTATCGCATTGGTCGGATTGTCGGAGGTCTAAGGTAGGTGAAAATGTAAAATAACCGACGAATAACCCATGCAAAAGAAGATATGTTTGTCATTTTTGCAATTATTGATTGCTTCCAAGCGTTAGCCAACTCGATGTTCGTTGTACCCCCGGGACACAGTGTCAAGGCAATGCTGCCTTCCTAACCCGTATTGCGCATCTCTGCATGGTCATACAGGTACACCGGATCCCCCTTCCCTCTTTGGCTCTCTCTCTCTCTCTCTCTCTCTCTCTCCTCTCTCATCTCTCATCTCTCTCTCCTCATCTCCTCTCTCTCTCTCTCCTCTCTCTCTCTCTCTCTCTCTCTCTCTCTCTCCCTCTCTCTCTCTCTCTCTCTCTCCTCTCTCTCTCTCTCTCTCGCTCTC